GTGAAGCTGTCTTGGGTCCAACCAGTACTTGCTATCCTTGCTTCATCTCGTGAAGCTGTCTTGGGTCCAACCAGTACTTGCTATCCTTGTTTCATCTCGTGAAGCTGTCTTGGGTCCAACCAGTACTTGCTATCCTTGTTTCATCTCGTGAAGCTGTCTTGGGTCCAACCAGTACTTGCTATCCTTGTTTCATCTCGGGAAGCTGTCTTGGGTCCAACCAGTACTTGCTATCCTTGTTTCATCTCGTGAAGCTGTCCAACCACGATAAGATTTTTTAGACTGCTAAATGTAGTTTATAGATCAATAAGTTATTAAGATAAAGTGCCAGATGTGTTTACAAGATCATTACCCAAAACAGCTTGAGAATAATGTTTGTAAGAGAACAAATCATCCCTCATTTATAGGAGTAATAAAAAAATGTTGCAGTACTCTAAGTTCCAAAACAGAGAAAATGGAAAGGTTAGATGGACAGTTAATGTATTAAAAAAAGCTTTACTGCATAAAATTTATACATCAGTCATGTTGTGACGGTCCATGTAGATTGATTTACACAACACACACTGTAGTACCTCAGTGCCAATCTTTTATGGGACTTTCACAATAAAGTTTGTTCAATACTTAAAGTCAATTCATTATTTTCAAGTGACAACAATTTAACTCAAAACAAATGTTATGCATTGATTAATCGGATTCTATGCTTCCATTGAAAAAAAAAGATAAGATAAATCAGAACCAACCATTTGGAAAGTTTTAAAAAGATACTATGCATGACAATGAAATATTCATTAACAGGCTGAAGTTTCTGTAAGAATCCTGCATTTTAAATTTTACCAAAAATGAACTCAAAGAGACTACAAGTTAAATTTTGTGTTGATTATTAAAGGTGGTTTAATAATGTACATGTATTTAAAAACATGTAAATTTATACAAGTTCTAGTGACTAGTAAAGAATTGACAAATGGTAATAAAGAACATTTTTCTACCTGACGCATCTTGAAAAGTATGATATGAACAATAAGGTCTTGGTGGCTACATCCTGAACATTATTGGTAATACTAACAGCTCTTAATGGTTATATCTTGAAACGATTAATATCAGTAACAGTTTTATCCTTGTGGTTACATCATCAGAAGTCTGATAACATGAACAGTCAGGTCTTATTGGTTAGATATTCAAAAGATCAATACAACTAACAGTTTTATTCTGGTGGTTACATCTTCAGAAGTCTGATAACATGAACAGTCAGGTGTTATTGGTTAGATCTTGAAAAAATTAATACAACTAACAGTTTTCTTCTGGTGGTTACATCTTCAGAAGTTAAGCCTTCTTGTTTAGATTTTGAACTGTCTCATCAATAAAGAAGAAAGATGCTCAGAAGATCAAAGAAAATATTAAAGATACGAAACTGACCAAGAATTTTTTAGTGCTTTTGAAGAGTGGACTCCTCTTCTTCAGAAGCATAAGCACAATAGTCAACTCTTCAAAAGCACTCATGCATCTCAATTTCAGTACTCCTAAAAGTCTGTCAACGTCAACAGTTAGTTCTTGATCATCATATCTTTAAAAGTCTGGTAACGTCAACAGTTAGGTCTTGATCATCATGTCTTGAAAATTGTGGTAACATCCACAGTTAGGTCTTGACTGTAATGTCTTGAAAAGTCTGGTAACGTCAACAGTTAGTTTTGGATGATTATATCTTAAAGTTTAACACCACAAACAGTTAGGTCTTGATGGTTATATCTTGAAAATTCTGATAAATACACTGTCAAGTCCTCATGGTTATAAAGTAACAAAAGGCTGAAATTAAGCACTAAAACTACACAGTTCTAAAAACAAAACTTTGGGACCATGAGCTGAAAAGAATAATGTAATCTTTTATCTAAGTTAAAACTTATTTAAATGATCTTTTAAAAACTAATTTAGAAATTAGAATTTTATACATCATTTTAGAAAGTTAGTTTGGTGGTATAATCAAGGCTGTGATTATATATAATATTATGTTATATTGTATATATATATAGTAGTGAGATCCAGGATCTGAAATTACAAAAATATTCTAATAACTTACACCGGCTTATTAACAGTAGCTTTAGATATGATAAATGAGACACCAAAAATAGTGTACAGCAGAGATCTGTTAAGAAATTAAACTGACATGGCACCCTAAATAAATATTACCTTGTAATATTGCCTGGAGACAGCTTGTTTTCTTCATTACCCATTCAAGCTATGTCCAAGAATTATTAGTCTCAAAATGGTCATCAAATCTTCTTATTACTAACATGTAACCTATATAAAATCCAGTGTGTGTCATGTCACATCTGATTTATTGAAATAAGAGGAATCATAAAAGCCAAAATGCATTTATCCAGATAGAATAGTCCAATTACTGTCTGCCCATTACGATTTTAGTGATGTGGGTGTAAGGGGGCCACAAGAGAGTGTGTGCCATGAAACCTTATAAGTGTAGTGAGTGTTGGTATAATAAGCCTAAAGTAAAGACATAGTATGGAATCACCTAGCCTAGAGCCAAGTGCATAAAATTTATCATGAAAGTAAAAATAGATTCAATTTTAGCCTTAAATCATTGTGAATTAAGTTATTTTTTATGTCACCATCATTTTTAATATAAAAAAAGAACCTCTTCAATCAGCAGACTCTAAATTAAGAAATTAACAAATATTTTTCCAGTTTTGTTGTCTATACATCTCATTTTATACTTTCAGTAAATAGACTAACTTTTGTTGCTAAGCAACATGACATAAAAGCCATTGTTGAAATGTAGTGTTACCAAAATGCACTGGCTTTTCTGTATATTAGAAGTTTTTAATCTAAGTGATTTCTACCACGAATCCATTTCATGAATTATCTTAATTTTGATTGGCTCACAAAGGAATTTACAGACGGTTGACTGCCTCAACAGCACTTTTCAGCCTGTTTGTTTGTCAAGCTTGATTTTATAAAATTTATTTCAATTAGTTATGAAATGTGAGGTTAGGATATACTATGGGGTGTTGTAGTACTTGTCCCCTCATTTTTGATGGGCTGTACCCTAGTAAGAAAATAGTTATGGTAGCATCATCACCAGATGTGAGCAGGTGTGTGTGTAACCAGAAAAGATGATTCAATATCTTGGATACATGCACAAACATACCTCAGGTTTTCTATTAAATTCAGCTTGAAATATTTTTTTCTCAAGTCTGTGAAAAATTTTCCATTACAAGTTATACAGTTATAAACATGCCCAATACTCAAATTAATGAGAAGTTTGGAGCAAACGGTTTAAACGTTTTCTAAGTGAATTAATCACTGATTGGGTATAGTGGACTGTATTTACTAATTTTATTACAATATATATATATATATATATATATATATCACATATATACATATGTATATATATATATATATATATTAAACCTGTAGCATGGTCTCAATTAGATCTCTTGCAACACCACCAAGACCTGAAGTTACATTAGTTCTAGTGTTTTAGTAAATTTGCTAATTATGCTGATCAAAATAATTCATATATATATTATAATATATATATATATCTAATGGGTCCCTTGAGGGCTTTACACAATTATAATATATATATATATATCTAATGGGTCCCTTGAGGGCTTCTATTCAAACTAGTGATTTATATTTTTCTAAACAAAACAAATCATACTTTGAAACAGTCGTTTGTACAGCTGTGTTTAGTTAATTTATTACTTTTCTACAGTTCTTTCCTAGGTCAAATAAACCCCAACAGATTGCTTGCATAGGCCATAGGCTTCACATTCGGGTGAGGCTGTAAAAAACACACAGAAAATTCAATATGAAAAATCATTTTTACTGTTAATTTTAATGTCACAAAACCTTATCATTCTAACTTTAATTAGGACCTTTAAGTTTCATGAAGAATCAATAAAAATCTGTCTAATAATTCCCATTTGTGGAAGCCACTCTCACCTTTAAAAGACATAAACATGAGAGTAAATAGTTCTATGAAGCAAAAACAACTACATTTACCACAGTTTTCTAATTTTGTCTTAACTATCACAAATTTCCACAAACAATAACTTCAAATTGCTTAAAATTTATTTTACCAAGTATTAAAATGCAAATATTGTTTGTTTTTACAATTTTCCACAAAGATACTTGAGGGCTATCTTAACTTAGAATAATTGGAAAGCAGCTAGTCAACTCAACCCACTGCCAACTCTTGAACTACTCTTTTACAAACAATAACCTAGAGGCAACTCCCATCTAATCTCACACATTTTAATGTGAACTGTGCTGGTGCATGATGACATTATCATGCTCAAAAGCCCTCCACCAGTAGGAGGGTAATAAACCTCCATGTGCAGTAACTCCCCTTATGCCCTTTCACTCGTGATAACTTCATTCTTTGATGAGGCAAGACAAACACATGCATCAGTAGTGGGGAGGACAAGTGGGAATGTGTGAAGAGGTATCTTTCAGAAATACATTATCGGATTAGAAAAATGTTCCGAGACAATAACCACCTCCTCAAACAGAAATGCTAGAATTCTACAATGAAATGGTGGAGGGTCCAGTGCAAAATTTTACCTAGATGAGCTCCCTTCAGAAAGCACCAAAAGGGAAGCCCATGGAGTGTGACATCTGATGGCAGGGGTTCTATAGGGGAACAACTGTGAGAGACCTCACCTCAAACAGGATATACATTTCATCTGAAATGTAAGGGGGGAAGAGGCAAATAAGGCACAGGCAGAATGAGAACATGATCGTATGAGCACTTGCACACAAGCAGTTGATGCATCAATATGTGTAAATGGTTGGGGTGAGTCAGACCATGCCATGTGTACTCACCTTGACTCTACTGAACAGACTCTGGCTGCAAGAGGAGAGCACATTAGTTGTGGATCATGTTTTCTGTACACTGGTTTCTCAGTTCTACTCACTGATCAGACTCTAGCTGCAGGAGGAGGGCACATTAATTGTGGATCATGTTTTCTGTACACTGGTTTCTCAGTTCTACTCACTGATCAGACTCTAGCTGCAGGAGGAGGGCACATTAGTTGTGGATCATGTTTTCTTTACACTGGCTTCTCCGTTCTACTCACTGATCAGACTTTGGCTGCAGGAGGAGGGCACATTAATTGTGGATCATGTTTTCTGTACACTAGCTTCTCAGTTCTACTCACTGATCAGGCTCTGGCTGCTGGAAGAAGAGGGCACAAGTGGTATGAGTTATGGTTCAGAGGAATGAATCGCACTACACTGACAGTGTCACCACAGCCCTTATTCTCACTGTATTGTGTTATGTCCAACCAGTGAGCTAGGAATTGATTAAGTGACAAGAGTTTCCTGTGCTTCACACAAGGAATGGGGGATTTGCATTAGGGAGACCTGGAGAGGTGCCCAGATCTCCATTGGACCTCCAGCTGGAAAGGCCTTGGAGACAGTGCAATGAGTGACTGCAAAACCCTATTGTTAAAAGCCAGCAAACACAAGCCAAAGAAGTGCTGGCTCTTTCCATGATATTCCATTGAATAGGTACAGCCTGGATTGACAATGGAGTAAATATATATTTATATGCCATATACAACAAAGATACTTCAAATGGTCTTATGGAACACCTCATATCAACAGTGGACACTGGTAGAGCAAGGGCAGATGGTATGAGCACTTTTCATGCAGCTTTTGAGTAAGTATACCATGGGAGGCAACACCAGCCATCTGATGGGATCCTATGAAATTAAACAGGGACTCTGAAAAAGAAACTGTATGTATTCTTCTCAAAAATGGTGGGGTGATTGAAGAATGGTGACTGGTGGAAGTTGAAATACATCAGAAAACAAAAAAGGCAGATGGTGTAGGTAACGAGAGACAAATGTATGAATAGTAGTCCACATGCCTGCCTGAAGAATCATGTCCTGGAGCTGGCAAAGATGAGATGCAGGAGAATGGAAAAAGGGATAAATCAAATCCACATCCAAGATAAACATACCAACCAGGGGAGTCAACAGGCCCAACCAGTAACAGTAGAAGGAGGGAGGTCCCTGGAAGAAAATGGGTCTCAGGGTAAGAACAGATGATGACAGAAACCCTGAAAGAGAGGCCTACAACAAGGAACACCAAACAGGACACAGGGGCCAAACCAAGTCTGAATTACCAAAGACATGAGACAGAGGAGAAAGGAGATAAAAAAGAAAGAAAGGTCACTTTTCCAAGTGTTCAAAGTCTGAGGAAGGAAAGATTGGTCTGGGAAGAGGAGTATATAAGTCTAGTGGAAAAGGGTGCAGACATGATTGCCCAACAACTAGTAAAGGCAGAGACCAACAAACCATGAACAAACAACAGCTAGGTAGAAAGGCAGAAAGGTGGTTGACAGTATGATGGCCAGCAGGAAAGGAGTGGCAGATAGATCAATGACAATAGTTCTGCCACTGTCATTAATAGACAAACACAGTGGAAGGAAACAGGAATGAAACAAGAATAATGCCAACACAATCAAGCCAACAGGTGACAAATCAGGCAAATCCCACAATGAGAAGATGGAGGGAAGATACCCCTCAATGAAAGAAAGAGATATATGAGGGTGAAGCAAGAAAAAGGAAATATTAGGGAAAGGAAGGGGGGGGGGGACTGAATGTCAAGTGGAACAAGGTTGAGCTGGCCAAAGAGATGCCAACAATACAACCTGACAAGGAAGGGAATAGACACACAGAAAAAGGTGAGACCAAGCTTAGTTGCAAGTATCAACTAGAGTCAAAGGATAAAAAACAGGGGATCAGAAGAGAGAAAGCTCAGAGTTGAGAAGGGTAGAAAAGGCATCTATGAGGAATGTGCCTAACCAAGAGCAAACATAACAAAAGACCCAAGGGTGCAGAGACCACTCCATTAATAGAATGTGGACTAGCTGAAAGAGTTGGTCCACCACCAAGTTCTTAGCTACTGGCAAATGAATGGCTAAAAGACAAACCCCAATGTGAATTGACCAAGAAAAGTATGTCCAATGCCTGTAAGCATATGATACTGGTACAGGTATCTCTTGGATGGTTGGTGCAGGAAACGACTAAGAAAGTAACTGAGTGGAACAGGACAATGTAGTCTACCAGTAGAGGCAGGAATGGGAACACACCAAACAAACAGGAGGAAAGTTGAGCACACTGATGTGGATTGAAAGCTTGTCCTGCATCTAATTGTCAGAAGTCATGCCCACATCCAGAGATGTACTTCAATCAGAGAGAGAAGTACTGGTGAAGAGAGTTTGAGAGTCAGAAAGAGAATATTGGAAGTAGTATGGGCATGATCCAGTCACCACCACAACTCCTCGAGAAAAGGATCACAGATGAAGATAATGGAACCAAAAAAACCCCACAGATCCAGAGAAGCCAGTTTCTGAAAGTGAAAGAACCTCTTGCACAAAATGAGAATGAGAAGCTCAAAACCTGGTTACCAGATATACCATAGCTTGCAAGTGAATAGGATTAAGCTGAACTCAGCCAAGAAAAGAGATCAATAAAATTCCCAAAAATACCAACTAGTGAGTAGCCATGAGAATAGACTTAGATCTAACCCTCCCAAATGAGAAGCCTCCTGTAAAAGAAAGGGTGATCTAAGCAGAGGGTACCAACAAAGAATGGGCCATCAGAACGTAATCATCCAAGAAAAGGAGCACCAGCCTAGGTCCAGGAATATGGCTACTGAAGGCTCTCACGATACCAATGAATATAAGGAGCTAATGCTATGTTGCCTGGAAGAGCAAAAAATGAAAAGATGCAAGATTGATGGGTGGAACATATTAAACATAAGGAGGACTGGTCAATGGTGATATGTAGGAAGGTGGCTGACATATCAACAATAGCCAACTGTGGACCAAGTGAAAAAAGAGTACAGATGGGTTCAGAATGAGAAAAAAGAAATGGAAAGAGTAGCAAAAAGAAGAAAAGGGAAGAAGGAGACTGAGTTAAGGAAATGAAATATGACTCTCAGTAGAAATTAAAATAATAGCAGGAGAAGAAGAAGAGATTGGTACTCATAAAGCCAAATATGACATGATACTCACTGACAAGAAGAGTGAGGTCTTGTAGAGGAAGGATGAGAAAAAGAGGAAGGCCAGAACCTGGAATGAAAAGGTGGGGGATAGACTGATTCAGAGGAGTAAAGGGCAAGGTCGAGAAAGAAGGGAAACCTTGGAAGATAATGTTAATCCAGGTCACCAGGGTAAAATGAACATCCAGGTGAAAGAAGGAAGCCTGATGAATACCATGTACACAGGAAGGAGTACAGTAAAGAGGATCATAGTCCAATGCAATGAGTTCCAACATCAGGGGAACAAAGCAAGGAAGGACAAAGCAGGAGTGGAACAGACTATGGTGGCAAGGAGAAGGGAACGAATGTCTAAAGAAAACCCAACTGAAGCATGATGAAGTGCCTCAGATAAAAGATGGAAGTAGATGAGGGAATACAGGATAGTAGGGAGGAGAACATGAAAACCAGAGAGCAAAACAGAAGGGGCCCCATTGCCAAGCTGGCCAAATAGATACCAAGGACAGGAAATCAAAAAAAGGGAAGGAAGGAAGTTTACAAGTCAATACAAAAAAAAAAGAAAAAGAGTCATGAACCCAAGAAGAATGAGGTATGTGGGAGGAGCTATTATTGAAAGGAAACAGTATGAATCCTAATAACAAGCAAGGAGGAAAGACAAGGAAACTACAAGAATTGTGGATCATGGAGTACAAAATGAGAAACATTAAATGATACAGGCAAAAGATAAGAAAAGAAATATATCTGAGAATGAAATCCAGAAAGAGATTGCAAGATTAAAATCATTTCTAGAATGGTAAAGCACTACCCCAAGCAAATCAGGGGAAGTTTGTAGTCTAAGAGATCATTCCTAACTGAGGAATTTCAGATGGAAGTAGGAGGCCAATTAAACATGTGGTAATCTACAACACATTTACCAATGACTGCAGTGTCCCTGACAGTTAACATGTCTCCAGAAGCCATGGTAGAAATAAAGTGTGTGTGTGAATAACTCCACTCACACAGGACTAAGTTTAAGTCACTATCAGTTGAGAAGTCACAGTAAAATATTAAGCTTTTGAAACAATTCAAATATCAACAAATTTAAACATGTCTGTTCAATACAATGCCTTATCAAAGAATTAAGTTATCATGAGTGCAACTGCATAGGGAGAGTTACTGTGCATGGAGGTTGTATCATCCTCCTATTGGCGGAATGTTATTGTCACATGATCATGTAAGCATGCACCAGTTCAATGAAATTAGGTGGGAGTTACCTCAAGGCTAGTGGCATGCAAATCTCTAAGACAGATGCACAGAGAATATAGTTTTTATGTATGAAGAGGTGAGTTATCATCTCAGAAGTTGAGGATTCGATACTCAAGCCTGATTTTAAATGAGAATCAGCAGAATATAACAGACACGTCAAATTTGAATGTTTCAAAGTTTCTCTAAAAAGAAAGCTAACTGTTACCAACTGTGGCACAATTCTTGTTGGTAGTGTTACAATTCATGATAGGATCAAAAATTAGATCAATTACAAAATGAGAAAACTGATCACATGAACACCTTCAGACGATAGGCCATCTTTTTCCAAGGATGCTTAATTCACCACTGAAGATCTATTTTCTAAGAGCACTCTTTTTTTATGAGTAGTAACAAATATACACATTTTACTCTTCTATGCTTTCAACTTCTGAAATTATCTATGGAATAAAATTATCCAAATATTTTACTAATACTTTCTATAATCTTAAATTCTCTTGATCAAATTTGAAAAAGTGTTAACTCATTTTCACGTTGCAAACTTTAGTATTTCCTGTGAAAATGAAGTTTTAATTTTCTTCTTCACAAAATTTATCTACTTTGTAAATGATATTAATTTGTAGTAAGGTTTATCTATATATTTTTGTTTCATGAAACAAGAGCTTCAGGAAGTTTCAGTATAACTCACCACTGCCTCATATGTGACAAATTTTGGTTTGAGGGTCTTGCCTTCAGTTGTAATGAATGCACCTTTGTTCCCCATCGTGTCACTTGAATAAAAACAGGAGATGACATGTTGGTGAAATTTGAAGTTTTTTATCTTCGTACGAATTAGTTTTTATTTACTATCTCTACCATCCTGCTACCAAACTCTAATAGCTAAATAGTAATATATGTTGTAGTAAGTTATCTTAGATGTCCTACTACTATACACTGTTAATATGTTTTCACTGGTCACAAGCCATTGTTAAGTAGGACTGTTTATAGTTCTACATTTACAGATGTCAAGTTCTTCAAGAAATATTAAATCAATGACAATACATAATACTCATGTTTATGTAAATAGATTATACTTTATGTTACTTTTGTTAACAGTATTGGTTAGCATGTATACACATTTTTGTACAATACACCTCAAATTAGACTCTTGCAACGTACAAATTAAAGACAAATAATGATCGGTTAATGTGATTTTTATTACAAATCTTAGATTTATTGGTTTCTAGTGCTTTGCCATTTAAAACATATTTATTTTTATTATTATTACACATTTCTCATAAAATATTACTTTTCATTTTTAGCTTAGTATACGTATTTAGGACTAACTTAAATCTCCTAAGGTAGACATACCTCGAGAGAGAGTACCAAACTAACAAAATAAAATATTCTAATCTTCATAAGTACGAACATAAGAATAGTTAGCCATACTCAGTACCAGGTTGATATACAGGTAACTTGTTTTGGTCAGAAGTCAATATTAATTTTTTGTTAGATTTAATTGTTCTAAAGGTACACAATAATTTCTAAAACACATCAGGAGCAGGTGTAACCTCTTAACAAACAAATCAATGTTATCTTTTTAATAGGCCAATGATAAATCAAGTACGTGTTACTATTAGGTTTGGTTTCAATAAGTTTAGCATAAAATAAACAGCTTCCTTAAATTAATATTATACAAATTCTGTTTTACAATTTCTAAGAGAGAAAAAGGTTCAATATACCAGTAATTGGGTGCTGAGAAAACTGTTAAACACAGTCCATCGTGAGCAACTTCATAACCTTCCGGTTTAACCTCATGGCTTCGAATAATGTATTCAAGTTTATTGAGTTCAAGGAAGTTTTTGGTTACATCTGGTCCAAACTGGGTTCCAACCCCTCGCTTGCTTGGTGAACGACCTTTCTGTGGCTGGGGGTCTGACCACAAAAGTTCACACATAATACCTAGGAAAAATATATATACATGTCCCTGTATAGCTATGGTTCTAAAGTAATCATATATGACAGTAACTTTAACACACAACAAAGCTGTGTCTCCATATAGCTATGGTTCTAAAGTAATGATATGAGACATTAATTTGAACACATAGTAACGATACGTCTCCATATAGCTATGTTTCTAAAGTAATGATATAAGACAGTAACTTCAACACACAACAAAGCTATGTCTCCATATAGCTTCAGTTCTAAAGTAATCATATAAGACAGTAACATTAACACACAATAATGATGTGGCTCCATATAGCTTGGGTTCTAAAATAATCACATAAGACAGTAGCTTTAACACAATAAAGTTTTGTCTCCATATAGCTTGGGTTCTAAAGTAATGATATAATACAGTAACTTTAACACAATAAAGTTTTGTCTCCATATAGCTTGGGTTCTAAAGTAATGATACAATACAGTAACTTTCACACAATAAAGATATTCCACTGATTTATTTCTACATATCATCGATGTTTTTTTCAGTTTCAATTGTTTAAAAACATTTCACACTTATAACACTTTAAAATGTACTGTCTAAAGTAAAGAAATTTTGTAAAATTAATCAAACTTGCACATAATACACATCACCAACCAAATACATCAAACTTACACGTAATACACATCACCAACCAAATACATCATCAAACTTACACGTAATACACATCAACAACCAAATACATCATTTATATAATACACATCAACAACCAAATACATCATTTTAATGAATTACCATTCTCAGCTACAGAAACTAATAAATCATCTAAGAATTTAGAAAAAAAATACCTTCTTCTGGCGGTTGTCTGTTTCTTTCAACTTTCCGTATTTCATCTAAGGTAACATCATCCTGAGAGAATAATCCTCCATGCATTATCTAAGATGAAAATTATTGAAATTCATTAAAGTTTGTCTTTAAAGAGGAAAATATCCACAAAAAAAAAAAAAAAAAATTATCTACATATTAAATGTGTATACTAATTTAAAACATTTTCAAACAGTGCAATCATCAAACTTAGATTCCTTATAATTTTTCAATACTTTAAAACACTATAATTTTTCAATACTTTGAAACGCTATAATTTTTCAATACTTTAAAACACTATAATTTTTCAATACTTTAAAACACTATAATTTTTCATACCTTAAAACACTATAATTTTTCAATACTTTAAAACACTAAAGCCACAAAGGTATATTTGTCTAAAAATTAATGCCTACTATAAATTTTGAGTAGAAATGAATTTCCATGTAAAGAAAGTTGGAAAAAAAACCAAGCAAAATATTTATATTTAAATTTTTTATTTACAATATAATGGAATAAAAAACAAATAAAGGCTCAACATGCTATGAGAGAGATACTATTTTACATACAGCCCATCAATAGTAGTCTACAGTCAAACTCACAAGATAATGTCAGAGCATATCCTGAGACATGAACTGTAACTGAGGCAATTCAAGAAAGGAGGGACATCTTTGACCTGTTTTGCCATAATATCTACACTGTTGCTACAGCCAAATCTGTGAGTGTTGAGTCCATGGACCCTAAAGTACCTGGAAGGCCACATCATAAATTTTGGTGACCACATGTCCTTGTTTGGACCTCATTGTCTTGGTGTCCCAAAGAGATCTTTTTTTGGTAGGTATCTCCAAATTTGTCTAAAAGTTCAAGTTTTTAAAGAACACTTGTAATCTAACTTTTGGTTATTACTGTAGAGACTAAAGACAAAAATAGAAAATGTAACCAACATCAAATTGATGTGAAAAACATAAATAACACCCTGCTGGCCTGTTACAATGCCATCATCAGTCATACAATCAGTGAGGGATGTGATGTTCTCAGACTCTGGCACAATTTGTGTTAAATATCACACTATTAGGCCTAGATTGAGTTGGCACATCACAATGATTAAGTGTCCTGATTTGACTACCTAAAATTTATGGTCACCTTGGTCAAAGAGCAAGTAACTCTAGTCAAGATGTGGAGACCTACAAATGTCCTACACATCATTCCATGCACGATTCTTATATCAGATTGTGAAAAGCACAGGCCTCAATCAAAGAATATTCTGCAGCAGTGTGAGATAATATACCTAGTAACATAGATGTCAAATTACACATATGGCTCAACAGGAGGTTTGAAAAATCAAACCATGATTCCTCTGACCAAGAGCCTAAAACTTTAATACACATCAACAAGAGAGGATCAACTGTCTAACCTTCATGATATCATTCATACATTGATGTAGATTGGATGACAAAGTTTCTAAAAGTAACCCATAGTAACAGACATTCCTGCTGTTTAATGTACAAATATTGTATAATTAATAAAAAAGTTCCATGCTTGAAGATCCACAAATATATCTATATACTACCAAACTCTGAGACTGTTTGTTTGCTTGTCTGTATTTAAATACAGCAAAAATAGCACACAATAGTGCCATATTTGTAATGAAGTGAGAACAGAAACAGAATAAAACAAGTTTCGTTAAATATTGAAATTAACTTGAATTCTTCATAACCTCTGGGCCCAACTGTTACTATAGTGTATATTAGAGACCATGTGATAAGAAATAATGAAATTATCAACTGTTACTATAGTGTATATTAGAGACCATGTGATAAGAAATAATGAAATTATCCAACTGTTACTATGGTGTATATTACAGACTGCGTGATAAGAAATAATTTTGGTTCACTTTTATGAAAATTTCTAGCATGAGTAATTTTACACCACACTACCGTTTGTGCTCTTTATGAAACTTCTTACAACACTTTTTTGAAAAATGAAATTGTCTTTCCTTTTACTCCCGATCAACAATCAAATATCTTTTCTTGAATTATGAACAACACGATTGGATTGAAATATTTAATTAAATTATCTCAAAATAAACCTTCATTTCGATG